TTAAAACATGGGGGGACTTAAATCCCTCTCGACTCCTGGGCTCTGTTGACACGGGGCATCAAGCAAGCGACCACCAAGGAGGATCCAGGGGTTATTTTCAGCGCTTCTTTGGGGACTGGCCTGGGAGAGAACTGGGTCGAAAGGTGATTTGCTATGAAGAGGGAGAGGAGACACGCGCGCGGAGTGGAGAAGGGCAGGGGTGCATAGGCAAAGAGATCGAGAGGGCTGGGTAGACAAATATGAAAAGAAGAGGGGTAGAAGGTAGAGAGAGAAGGGAGAGAGAGAGAGAGAGTAAGAGGAGAAGAGGAGAAGGAGATCGAGACCGAGAAAAGACACACAGACAAAAAGAGAGAAAGAATTTAGAGAGATTGGGGTAGAAGCTGTAAAGAGAGAGAGAATGAAAGAAAGAAAAGACAAAAACAGAGACAAAGACCGAGACCGAGAAAGACACACAAACAGAAAGTGAGAAAGAGAGAGAGAGAGAAAGAATGTAGGCCATAAAGTCAGACACAGATTTAGCAACAAAACCCCGATATTTAATGAAGCAGAGCGTCGTGGAGTGAGCAGGCAATTGCTTTCTTATCAATTTCTTGCAACTCACGTAGATATGCCAGACACACACCCTTCCCAAATGAGGATAAACGCGATAAGAGGTAAATCCACTGTGATAAAAGGGAATAAGAATGATGAGAGGTGAAAAGATTTGAATTGAGAGAGAGGAGAGGGAGGGGGATAGAGAGAGAGAGGGAGGGAGAGAGAGAGAGAGAGAGAGAGAGAGAGAGAGAGAGAGAGAGAGAGAGAGAGAGAGAGAGAGAGAAACGGTCGATAAATGATGAATAGAAAGGACCCTAAAGTCAAAGCAGGTCAAAGAAAGGAATAGATGCAGGGTTTGTGACGTGTCTGTAAATAAGATGAAAAGGAAATAGAGAGAGAAAGAAAGGGAGACAGAGAGAGAGAGAGATGGGGAGGAGACAGAGAGCGAATGAGAAAGATAGACGAATACAACGGGAATGAGTGGCAGAAATAAAGAGAAAGAGAGAGAGAGAGAGAAAAAGACAGAGACCGTGGACAGAGAGGGAGAGAAAGAGAGAGAGATGGGGGAGGAGACAGAGAGAGAGTGAAAAAGAGAGGAAGACAATACAACGGAATGAGTGGCAAAATAAAGAGAGAGGAGAAAAGAGAGAGAAGAAGATAGAAAGGGCGAAAAAGAGAGACACAGAGAGAGAGAGAGGAAGAAAAAAAAGAGAGAGAGAGGGAGGAAAAAAGAGAGAGAAAGAGAAAGATAGAAAGGGCGAAAAAGAGAAACAGAGAGAGAGAGGGGAGAGAAAAGAGAGAGAGAAAAAAGAAAGAGAGAGAGAGGAAGTAGACAAAAGCAGAGGAAAACCGAAAAATGGTTCCTCTGGCCTCATGAGGTAGACACGATCGTTACCCGAGGTCTGACGGAACAGCAGGTCTGGTCGGTTCAGAGGATTGATCAATGATTCACATTTAACATTTGGATATCTCCTCTCGAGCCTCCTCCTTCCCCCTCCCCTCCACCTCCTCTTCTTTAGCCTCCTCCCCTGCTCCTCGTCCCCTCCATCTCCACTTCCCTCTTCCTTTCGTTCCACTCTCCTTTTTTCGTCTCTTTCTCCCTCTCCCCTTCCCTTCCTTCCCCTTCTCCGTTTCTTCTTTCTCCTACTCTCCCTTTCCGCCTTCCTCCTCTCTCTCTTCACATACCCCTCCTCTCTCTCTTCACATACCCTTCCTCTTCCCTCTCCTCTTCACCTCCTCCTTCCTCCTCCCTCTTCTTTCTCTTCTCCTCCACCTTCCTCCTTCATCTCCTCTTCACCTCCCCATCCCCCTCCCTCCTCTTCACCTCCTCTTTCCCCCTTCCTCCTCCTCCCCCTTCCTCCTCCTTCTCCTCCTCCCTCTCCTCTTTCCCCATCCTCCTCCTCCTTCTTCCCTTCCCCTCATCATCCTTTCGCCTCGTCCACCTGCTCCCCCTCCCCTCACCCCCTCCCCACCCTCACCTTTTCCCCTGTGATATTCCTTCTATTCACTCTTGTGTTGCTTCACTCCCCCAGGACAAGCAGCCATCACGGTGGCGCTGCTCGGGTGTCTCTTAGGCTCTCTGTCTGTGTGTCTGGCTGTCTGTTTGTCTCTCTTTCTCTCTTTTGTTTGGCTGTCTTTCTTTTGCTCTCTCTTTCGCTGTTTGTTTGTTTCTCTGTCCATCTCTTTTCTTCTGTCTTCTCTTTTCTCTTTGTTTTTTTTCTCTCTCTCTCTATCTATCTATCTCTCTTCTTTTCTCTTTCTCTTTTTCTCTTTCTCTCTCTCTCTCTCTCTCTCTCTCTCTCTCTCTCTCTCTCTCTCTCTCTCTCTCTCTCTCTCTCTCTCTCTCTCTCTCTCTCTCTCTCTCTCTCTCTCTCTCTCTCTCTCTCTCTCTCTCTCTCTCTCTCTCTCTCTCTCTCTCTCTCTCTCTCTCTCTTCTCTCTCTCTCTCTCTCTCTCTCTCTCTTTCTCTCTCGCCCTCTCTTCCCTCTCCTTCTCTCCCTTCCTCTTCCTCTCTCCTCTCTCACCCTCCCCCTCTCATCCCTCATCCTCTCCCCCTCTCACCCTCCCTCTCCCTCTCCCTCACTCTCCCTCCCTCTCATCCCATCTCCCTCTCTCCCTCTCCTTCTCTCCCTCTCCTCCTCTCCCCCTCACCCTTCCTCTTTCTCTCCATCTCCCCTCTCACCCTCCCTCCTCTCCATCTCCCCCTCTCACCCTCCCTCTCCCTATCCCCCTCACTCTCCCTCCTTCTCTCAATCCCCATCTCCCTCTGCTCCTCCTCTCCTTCTCTCCCCCTCACCCTTCCTCTCTCTCTCCATCTCCTACTCACCCTCCCTCCTCTCCATCTCCCCTCTCACCCTCCCTCTCCCTATCCCTCTCCCTCTCCCCTCACTCTCCCTCCTTCTCTCAATCCCATCTCCCTCTCCCCCTCCCTCTCCTCCTCTCCCCTCACCCTTCCTCTTACTCTCCATCTCCCCCTCTCACCCTCCCTCCTCTCCATCTCCCTTTGACCCAAATTTAAAGTGAGATAGAAGGAGAAGTCCCGGAGAATGAACACAAATGTGATGGCTTTCTCCTGTACCCATTTTCCCTCTCTTTCCTCTCCCTCAGGCCAAATTGGCGGGAAAAATCAACCATAACAAAAGACTGCAAACAAAGCGCACCTTGCTCAGCCTTTGTCACCACGGGGCAATATGCTCTCCGTTTTTTACCTCTTATTATTGTTTTTGGTGCATTTTGGTTATTCTTTATCGCAAACTTCATTATATTGCGTTTCGAAACCTTGTTAGCTGCGGGGTTATTGGATTTTCATATTCACTTTTTTTTAAGATTCTTTTTTCTCTCCTTTTTTTCTTGTATACGTAGATATTCACTTTCTTCTGTCTCGTCATATTTTTAGATCCAAGTACTCAAGTATTTTTTTTTCTCTCCTCATATGGTTATTATCTACACCCATGTACTCACCCATATTTACACCCATGTCCCCGTTCGGACTGAAAATACCCACACGTGTCCATCCTTTCCTTCCACCTAAATGATCTAGCCGCCATTTTCTTCCATTTTCCGTTTTCTTTCTGGTGGCGAATGCTCATTGGCTGTCCCGTCCTTTAATCTGATTGGTCAGTTTTGTTCCGCCGTTGTGGCCAATCAGGACGTGTCTTTCGTCGGGTTTCTTTATTGTCTTTCCTTTCAACTGAACCAGAAAAGAAATAGAAAGAGGAGAGAGAAGAGAGATCGGGAGAGAGAACGAAACATAAAAGACAGTAATTCTTGAAGCCACGACATTATCAAATAATATTTCAGCGGCGTCGGTAGAGAGGGAAGGCGAATGAAAATCACCCTCCATTCTCAAATTCCCGCCTTTCACCAGACCGGAAAAGTTTCGTTTAAAAGACATTTGAGAATTTCAGGGAGGAAGACGGCACCGTAATCTGGGCCAGAGAGTCAAGGGAAGAGGGTTTCTGTGTTATTTTCATGCCTTCTTGTATTATTTATTTGTCAGCCTCTCTCTCTTCTTACTCTCTCTCTTTCTTTCTTTCTTTTTTTCTTTCTCTTTCTCTCTTTCTTCTTTCTCTCTTTCTCTTTCTCTCTCTCTCTCTCTCTCTCTCTCTCTCTCTCTCTCTCTCTCTCTCTCTCTCTCTCTCTCTCTCTCTCTCTCTCTCTCTCTCTCTCTCTCTCTCTTTCTCTCTCTCCTTTTTCTTCTCTCCTCCTTCCCTTCTTCCTCGCTCTTTCCATCTGCGTCTATTTTTAACTGTATATCTGGTTTTCGATGATGAAAGGGTGAGGTGATAAGAATAACGGTAAAGATAGAGAAAGAGGAAG